TTCGATTTTTGTGTTGAGCAATACTATTTGATTGATGTGAATAAGGTTCCGTTGTCTGATGAATGATTCCATGCTTGGAATAATATTCTTTAAATGGTGCCCCGTATTCACCACATCTATCACTACGAATACATTTTATTCGTTTACAAACTTGATTTTCAACTTCCATCTTATAATGTTTAAAGATATCTAAGGCTTCATTTCTACTTCGTAGTAGAAAGACATATCAATACTTTGTACAATCATCAATGAAAGTTATAAAATATTTCTTACCACTTTTAGTTTGAACAAATTTCAAGTCACATATATCTCTATGTATTAACTCTAAAGGTGGCGTGCCTTTGAATTGAGTGGAAAAGGTATTTTGGCTAACTTTGCTTTAACACATACTTCACACTTATGATAGGATCAACCTTAAGCGTCGGAATTAAATTTTGATTCATAAGTTTGTGCATTGATTTGTAATTGACGTGTCCTAATCGACAATGTCATAAACAAGACAACTCAAGCATATAAGTAAAATTCAAAGTTTTATTGATAATGCTTTGTTTCGTTGCAATTGTAAGAACGTCCATTTTGAACATTCCATCACATAAGTATCATTTACAAACATACATATCATTCTTAGTGAGTACAAATTCATCGAATACAAATACAAGTTTAAAGCCAATTTTGCTAAGTAGAGACCCGATCCACAAGGTTCTTGTGAATGTCCGGTACATGTAAGACTATTGTTGATGACGAGTTCCTTTTCAGATGTCATCTTCAAAATAACTTTTCCTTGTTCTTCAACTTTAGAAATTGCAGAATTTTCCATAAAAAATTGTTTTCCATTTAACTCTTTGTACTCAGAGAACATAGTCTTGTCTATACAAATGTAACGGGTAGCACCAGTATTAACCCATCATTTTCTTGAATTTGCAACATTGTTACATTTAGAAACAACCACTGAAAGATTCATCTACTGTATTCCTTCAAAAAAGGGTGTCTCTTTCAACCACATTTGTTGGTGCGTTCTTTTTAGGCTTTCAACATTCATTAGAGCGATGTCCAGTTTTTCCACAATTGTAACAGTTGCCTTTAAACTTCTTGGCATTCTCGGAATTGTCTCTTTTTGGTACCACACCGGAGATCTTTCGTTTCTTGTTAACAACTATCGAACCAGTTTAACAAAATTTGCTCCAATTTGAACAATAGATTTCCTTTCGATGTTTCTATTGTCTTTCTCTATCTTCAATCGGATTATCAATTCTTCCAAATTCTTCTCTTTGCATTTGTGCTTGAGATAGTTCTTGAAATATCTCCACATAGGAGAGAGTTTCTCAATGATAGCGCAACTTGGAAAAACCATTCAATTCCATCTTTTCAGCATGTATGTCATGTAGTAGAATTTGAAATTCTTGTACTTGACTTATCACAGTTTGGAGTATACAATTTTGCAGTCCAAAAACTTGCCAACAATGAACTTCTTTGTTCCGGCACCTTCGGTCTTGCACTTCTTTTCCATTGAATCTCATAGATCCTTGGCCGATTCCATTGAACTATATATTCCATAAAGTATATTGTCCCATCCATTGAGAATGTAATTTTTGCAAAGAAAATTCAAATGCTTCCAATAATTGATTCACGATTATTTGCTCCTTTTTGTATAGTAGGAGCCCTTTCTTTTAGAAACTTTGTCAAATTCAAAGTAATAAGATAGAACAACATCTTCTGTTGCCATTTTTTTAAAATCCACACCTCCAAACTTTTTTGATTTTTTCCCATGTAGGATGTGAGAGCTTGATATAGGTATGGCCAAAGGCGGAACCACATGGTTCATACCATTTATTGTTTGACTTGAAGTAGTTTCAACAGGATTCCTTTTTGTTATAAACAGAAGCTCAACGTATGTAAATATGAAAAGAAAGGAATGGCACACAAAATATTATTCCAAAGATGAAAAAATGATATAACAACCAAAAAAGAGGTATCGTCTTAAGATTATTGGTGGATGTGTGGTAGAATATGTAAATGTTTGTTCAAGAGAGAAATTATATTAGTTTTATTCGCAGGAGCGTAATTAAACTACAAATAAAGAAAGTAAGAAAAAGAAAACAAAAGGAAAACAAAATTCGAGGTAAGTGAAAACACTTTCTCCTTAAAACAATATTGACCCACAACGGTGATAACGGACTACGGTATTTATTCCCCAAGATACAATGGATACAACTTGTGGTAGAAGCACTTTAAACCACAAGCAACAATAAACTTAAAACGAATTTTTCTCTCTACACGAAGAAAGGTTTTAGAATGATTTTTAAAGACTATTTTTGCAAGAGTTTTTGTTATTATGCTCAATACAAATTATATGAGATGCATAATGGACATCGAAAAGGTCATTTATATAGAAGATGAAAAGTTGTGAGTGAAATGTCACGCCCCAAACTCAACAACTTTTGTCAAAGGTCACAGTATTTACTGTCGCTAGCCTATTGCTGGACTCTAGCTCGAGCAATAGTGACACATTTTCCTCAGAATTTCTCTAACCAGCATGACGTCCCATCGCTCGAACGATATGTGAACGATAGATATAGTCATTTTCCAACCCTTGTATCCTCTTTTCTATTCAATTTTGGACCGCAATTTTTCATTCATCCGGAATTGGTTTTGAAATTCCAAATATACCAGACGGTCTACTCGACGAGGAACAAATTAGTCTATTTATATTCATAATTTGACTACCGGATAAAGTTCGAATATTTGGTCGAAATTGACACAAAAGTCACTTTCACATACTTAATTTCATTATCTAAACCAAATTCCAACATTTTTTATGTCACAACAAAAAATTACCACAAAGGGGGTAATTGTTGGATTCATTTATGCTTATTTATTTTTTACATATAAACATTCACCTATTTATATGCTTCTGTATTCAGCAGTTAATGCATATGCAAATTGAATGGTTAGCTTTTGAATATGGTTATGTTCTGAATACATGAGTGGTTCTGGAACCATCGCAATGAGTGGTAACGAAGATGATCAGTAGCAATAACCAAATAAGAAGATAAAGTTGGGAAAGGGAGGGGCGTGGGGATTTTTTTTTTTTATTATTTTATATGATATATAATATGAAATTACCATTTATCCTTTAAAATTGGAGGAGAATATAAAATTTTAAAGGTTTAAGATTGTAGATGACACACAAAAAAATTGAATATAATCTGCAAAAAAAAAAAAGTTTGGGATCACTACTGTAATTATTTCTTTTTAATTTTGGTCATTTTTACTATTTTCAACGATTAAACTAACAAAATTGGACTGTGAGGGTGCTCCACACTTCAAAGTTCATGTAGAGGGATTTTTTTGCCGATTTAAAAAGGTGGAAAGTATTTGGCAATATGGTCTATGTTGGGGGATTTTGTGCCAATAAGACTAAAAAAAAAAATTGAGTACGATTATAGAACGAAAAATGGTTGTTGGGTGATGAAATTAAGAGTCTCTTTGAGCCCATTTTCTCAACAGAATGTATTTTATAATAATATTTTGACAGATAACGTGTTGTCAAAAAATAAAGAAATGTTTTGAATTTACGTTTAATATTATTTTATTGAAAAATATGTGATGAAAAATAATATAAAAAAAAAATAATGAGAACCAAATAAGAACTAAAACAAGGTCCAAGGTCTCCAAATTCATATGCATGATTTTGTTCATTAATCGTTAATCACCAAACTGTGTAAAATTCAATCACCATATTAGTCTTCGTGGTATAAACTAATCAAAACCAAAGAAAACGTGTGGATTGGACACATTTCAATGTTGCAAGTTGACTCGATTCTCAATATATGAACCTTAGTCAAAAAGTAACTTTTAATAAAAAAACATCAATACACCCGATATTCTTCATTAAATTAAAATAAAGTAAAAATAAATCAAAAGGAAAGGAAGATGAGATGAAACAACCGAAAGCAAGAAAAAAAATATTTTAGTAATAATTACCAATTTCTTAATCCCATCACACCATAAGTCGGTGTGGTGTAAATAATTCTAGAATAGATTTTATAAAATAAGAAAAAAAAGATTTTTTTAACTATATATTCATATTTGGTCTATTTAAAAAGTTATATTAAAATTTAAATTAAAGCCAACAATTAACCCCGATTAGACAACTAATACGTTTTTTGACCAAAATAAATTTTGGAATAATGATTTTTTGTAAGAAAATATGTTTAAAAGTAATAAATAGTTTTGAATTTATGTACAATATATTTTATTGTGAGAATGTATAGTTGAAAATGAATTTAAAAAAAAAATTATTTTAATAGTTGTCAAATTTCATTACTTCCGATTCTTTTTTAACAATGCATTAGGGCCTGTTTGAGTCCTTTTTTTTAGGTAAAATGCATTTTGGAATAGTTGAATAATGAAGAATGTGTGGTTAAAAATGAAGAAAAAAAATTTGAATTACGTGTAATATTATTTTATTAAAATATATGTGTGATTGAAAAAAAAAATAAAA